GTAGCACTGACTGTGCTAGCTGCTGGCCGTCTTCGCCGCCGCCCTTGCCACCGCCGTCGCCGGTGCCATGGGAGGAGTGTTCCGACGCGGAACTTGGAGGCGACTTCAACGGCGTCAACAACTTCACGATCAGCGATGCGCTGTACGTGGCGCAGATGTGGTCAGGTAAGGCCCCGCGCACGGCTTGCATGGGCGGCGATTTGAACGGGTCCGGAAGTTTCACGATCGCGGACGCGGTTTTGGTGGCCATGGTGTACACGCTCGCGGCGAGGGAGTTCGTGGAGGTGTGACAGCGTCTCTTCACACCTATTGCTGTGAACAGGTGTGGGCGGGGAAAGCGCGCTTCTCGTGGCGGAGCGGCAGCGCTGACGGCGCTAGGGACCCGGATGGCATGATCGTGATCGTGAAGCCGCCGGTCGAGCCGGTCGGGCCGCCGGGCTGCTGCCGCGCGATGACAGCGGAGTGCTTGTCTTGTGTCGAGGGGATGGGGGAGGATGAGTACTGCGCCAAGAATCCGCAGACAATCGGGTGCCACAAGACGCGTCGCTAGCTCTGCGGACGCCAGAGAGTGCTGAAGTTCAACTTGCCAGTGCCAATAAGAATCCGCAGTTACCCTACGCGGCGCGCCGCACGCAGACAGTGCAATTGGGTGCAAGACGCGTCACAGCTCTAGCTCTGCGGACGCCGGAGAGTGCTCTCAAGTTCAATTTGCGTGAAAAAGAGACTACGAAATAAACTGTGAAATGTGAGATCCACAAGGATACACACAGCATACTGCAATACCTATCCTCATAACCTCATATGGCTGCCTGCCAGGAGTCAGACGCAGCGCGCGCGGTTTCAACAGCAGCGTGAAGCTCCAGTCCACGCTCCCTGCAAAACAACCGAGGTCTCATGTGCGCCCGCGCTCCTTCGCGTCCTTGGCCGCGGAGTGAATGTACCCGCTCACGCGAGCCCTGTTCACCGAGTCAGCGGAGCCCCCGCGCACGACGTGGCTTTTCATAAAGTCTTTGTTGGCGACGAGCTTGCGCTGAGCCGCACTCAGCTCCCTCTCCTCCCTCGCCTGCCTGTCTCGCAAAATCTGCGCGTCGAACTTGGCCTTGTGCGCCGCCTTGCTCAGCGCCTGGATCTCTTGCGCCCGCCCTGCGTTCAGCTCCTGCGGGCGCGGGCCCAGCCCGGAAGGGTCCCCGGCTGCTCGCGCGCCGCCGCGGACCGCCCTCGCCCGAATGAGCTCCTTGACCGCCTCATCAACCGCCCCCTCCTCGTCAGAGTCAGAGTCTGACTCCTCGCGGCTCTTTCCGGATCGGCGCGGGCTAGCGCGCGCGGCGGCCCTTGACCCGCCGCCACCGCCGCCGCCACCGCCGCCGCCGCCACCGCCGCCACCGCCGCCGCCGCCACCGCCGCCGCCGCCGCGAAGCACCTCATCGATCGCTCGCTGCAGCCGCTCGAGCTGCCCCGCCGTCCTCTCCTCGTCGTCGCGCCTGAAGCCGTCGACGACGGCAAAGACGAGCTGCTCGGCCGCGCCCTTGTGCGCGCGCAGCTCGAAACCGCTCAGCTTGACCCGCCGCTCGCACACGTCGAGCCGCATCGACGCCGACGGCGCGCCGCGAAACGGCTTCAGCTGCGCCGGGACGAGCTTGGCGAGGACGAGGCCGTGCCGCCGGCTCGCCTGCAAACAAGACGGTCTCTGGTCGTGGCGGACCGTGCCGCCGCCGTCGTCGGGCTCTCAAGGGCCACGTCAGCGCGCCTCGCTCAGCCGCACCAACGCCGGCAGCAGACCTACAGGGCTAGGAACCGTCTAGGAACCGTCTAGCGACCTTCTTGGGACCAGCGCCGGCAGCAGACCGTCGAGGTGCGTGCTATGGTTGCACACGATGTTGCGCGGCAGCTGCGCGCCCCAACGCCCGTCGCCCGTCCCTCGCGAGGCGCCCGCCGCCGCTGGCCTCGGCGCGGCGCACGGCGCGGGCGGAGGAGAGGCGACGGGGCTGCTGCGATCGTTGCACGCCGTGGCGGGGCCGTGCAAGTCTCGCACCAGCCGCCTTGCCTCCTCGCAGACGGCGACCAGCGCCTGCTCGCAGCTGGAGGGGTGAAGAGGCGCAACTCACAGCGCCTCGTCTCGCCGCAAGAGGGCGACGCGCGCCTCGACGCCACGCTCCTGCCCATCGAGCCACGTGCGGAGGGCAGAGTGGAGGGAGGCCATCGGGGCGGCGTCGATCGTCTGCGTCATAAAGACGCCAGCACTCAGGGCGGGACTGCGTTGCGGTGATGTGCGGTGTACGCCCAGTGCTGTGTGAATACGAGGAAGCCGAAGACACGAATACCGCCGAAGATACGGTTGAATACGGTCGAATGCGTGACCTCTCGAGCGCGGGTTGGGACCCTCGAACACTTGCACGCACACGTGTTCCGCTTCTAAGGTCGAGCGCCGGGCACGAGACGCATCGCAGCTCGACGCCCCTCTTGAGCGGGTACCCCTCGGGCAGCTCGAGCTGCGGGGAGATATGGGGAGATATCGCCAGATCTGATGAGCGAGCACACCTCTCCCAATGCAGCTGCTTCTGCCTCTTCGGCTCATGCTGCTGCTTCCGCTGGAGCCGTCGCGTGTGCTGCTGCAAGAGCAGATGCTTCACGCCGCGCTCTCCTCTGCGCGCTGCTGTCTCCTCCTTCGCTCTCGCCCTGATCGCCTCCTCCTCTCGCCTCTGCTGCCTCCTCCTCGACCCTCGCGCTCACGTCTGCGTCCGCTGCTGCCCTCACCTCCGCCT